AATGTTTAATTAAAAGAATGCACTTCGTTATATCTTGTTTTATTAAATTATCCGTATTGTAGCTGATAGTGTATCAACGACATGCCTTTGTTTTCCTTCGACATATAAATAACAATTTATGCATCTGAACATGGTTCCAAATCACAAACGACAATGTCGTCCAAATCTATTCGAAATTGACATAAACGTCAAACAAAAGGATATCAATCCAGTATAACGTTTAGTTTCACATAGGTCCTACCACTTAATAATATATATGTATACGTGTATGCGCATAAAAAATAAAAGGAACTATAATTGTTAAACTTATTTATGTTTAATAAATTATTTATATTTATAACCGAAATGCTTATTTTATCCATAATATTAAAAAAGATAACGATATTTTTCGAACACTTGACTGACATTTTATTGTTTGTCGAGAAACAAAACGCATATGCCATGTTTTCGTTCTTCTCCAAAAGTAGATACAAATTATTTTAATACACTCCCGGACACCTAAATCGAGCCACCTTGATTTTTTTGGTTTGGAGTACTGTAACTTATAAAAGATGTATGTAGAAGGAAAATGTTTTGATGCAGTTTTGGAGCTGGTATACTCATCATTCATTTAGAGTGCCACTGTTCTAAATTTGAACTACAGTTTATTAAAAAAGTCGAGTTACGTTGAAACAAGTCCATAATTGCTTTTTTCAAGGAAAAAATCTAATCGATTTTTAAATAAAGACATGTTTTACATGAAAAGAAATGTTTATTTAGTAACCATTTATGACAGCTCTCATACGGTTTGACATGGAATTAATCAATGTCGTTATGACATGTTGAGGAATGTCCTCCCATTCTTCCAAAATTACATTTTTGAGCTCCTGCATGGTTTGCGGGGCAGGATGATGAGCTCGAACACGCCTCTTCAGCTCATCCCATAGATGCTCTATAGGATTCATATCAGGACTTCGCCATCTCATAACAGTGATACCAATGTCATTTAAGTACTCCCTGACGATTCCCGCAGTATGGGCCCTTGCATTATCATGCATAAAAACGAAATCTTGGCCAATAAATCCAGTATATGGCATCACGTGGTTCTCTAAACATTGGCGAATGTATCTATTGCCATCTAGGGGCGGCAGTCGTGGTCCCGTCACTACCTCTAGCTAAGTTTTGCCTTCCATAGAGATTCCTCCCCAGACTGTCCATGATCCTCCACCATAACTCACTTTCTCGTCAATACAGCATTGCGCGAAATGCTCGTTCTGTCTTCGGTACACCTTACTCCTTCCGTCATTACCGTATATCATTATCTTGGACTCATCTGTGAAGAGAACCTGGCGCTATTGATGTCGAGTCCAATTTAGATGTTCGCGCGCAAACTCTAGACGGGCTATTCGGTGTGCTCGAGTCAATTCGGGTACATTGGCTGGCTTATGGGGCTTTAAATCACGTTCATTGAGTCGCCTTCTGACGGTCCGAGCACTTACAGCCACTCCGTGAAAGTCCCTGAGCTGTTCGTGTATCTCAACAGAGTTAAGGCATCGATTTCGTAAGCTAGTAGTGACAATGTATTGATCTTGTCTCGCCGTTGTCACTCGGTAACGAGGTCCTCCTGTTCGCCGAACGAAGCCGCCAGTCTCCAGGTATCGGTGGTACACTCTTTGAACAGCGGAACGACTTATGTGAAGTTGTGAACTCACATCTCGCTGACTTAGCCCAGATTGAAGAAATGCTACAGCTTGCGCGGCTACTTCAGGTGAAGTATCCATAATTTTATAGCCAAAAACGGTTAAAATTATAGAAAAATAACTAAACTAAACTTTGGTTTACAACAATTGCGAAAATTCAAACCAAATCGACATTAAATTGCTTCAAAAGCAACTTTCAACAGTCATTATTTTTTTCTAATCAGTGACCAAGCTCGGCTTTTGTTATTTATTTTAAATTCTAAAATTCAAATTTGTAATAATACATACGGGAAAGACGATGAAATATGCCAGCTTTAAAAATGCATAAAAACTTTTTTGTTATATTGTATATTTTTTGTGTATTGGGCTTTTAGACCCGGGAATGTAAGGTGGCTCGATTCAAAAGTCCGGGAGTGTATTTATTTCGTATCCGCCGCTTTTACAAAGTAATAATTAAATAGGTACGACAAAAAAGTCGTATAAAGTTTTTCATATATTTAGTGGTGGGTCATTTTATATATCAGATAAATCGCGCAGATTGCATACGGAACGTAGCCCCTTATCTGTAGTTATAAAATCTACATCATCAAAATGTGCACTGCACACAGTACTAGCAGTTGACAGGTTCCAACGGGTTTTTGTTTTTTTCTCTGCAAAATCGAATAACTAAAAAAACCCCAGTTATCATAAAAAGGAGGCAAGAGTAATTTTATATGAATAATATGGGTTCAGGAGGCCTACTCTATTTCAACGAAAAACGAAATTTCGATCGAAATTTCGCACGCAAAACTTTCGAAGGAAAAGTTGAATTTGACAGATAATTGTTCGAAATTTTAACCTCAAATCGACGAAATGAAAAGTGTTACCTTTTCATTTTCGTTTTGAGATTTTTGTTTTAATTAAGCCTAAAATACTTGCAAGAGTATTTTTAATAATAGCTGCTTAGCTCGAGTAACATTTTTAGCATGTAAAATTAACAAATAAACCATTTTTTTATTATTTTTTGTAATTTCGATACTTCAAAGTATTAAACGACAAATTGAGGTTGACATACAGTAGATTGTATCGACTCTACAAATTAGTCGGCAAACACTGTCAAAGAAGGTTCTTTTAATGTCATCAAAAAATTTGCCGTAAACTACCTATATTGTTTCCAAGTAAAAAAAAAGTTTTCTTAAAAGTAGAGATAAAAAGAACTCACAAACATGACTCATTCCATTCGTTCACGAAAACTGTTTATGGTTCCGAAGTTAATGTGCCTGTTCGAAAATGAAATAGAGTAGAGACACTGGCGAAATTTCGTTTGAAATTCGTTCGTTACCGAAATTTCGTTTCGGAGAAAGAGAGTAGAGCTCCTGTTCTTTTCCGTTTGGAATACGGAACCTTTAAAGGTTACGAAATCTTGTCTACACAAATAAAATATAATTTAGAAAAAATATCACGATTCGTCATTACTTACGCATGGTAGGTTATTCCTTGTGACTTTGTAAGTTTACTCATGTGATTTTTACATGATTTCATCACACAAGGCGGCATATTATCAAAATTTTGTCAGAGCAATTGAACGTGTGACTGGCGCTGTCACGCGGAGTCAAAGGGCAGCGGGTTGTCGAACCTGGTGCATTTGTGCGAGTTTGGTTAGTGTACAACAAACGAAATTGTAGGACCTTGCATACTTCACATCGTTTTAGTTTAATGTCACGTCCGTCTTGTTTTCAGGTCTGTGGTTGTAATACAAAAAAAAATCCTTGGTCTTTCTTTTTTATTTCTACTCGATTCATTAACTTTTCATTAGCAAGTCTACGCAGTAAATCAAGATTATCTTTCATCTGTTCCACTGGGAAAAATTAGATGCGACACAATTAGACATGAAATGATGTACCTTCATCGGAGAATATTTAACAGTGTATTTAGGCCAGCTTTACTGGGTCACTAATATTTAACGTCAAACTCCAAGCGAAGAATTCTTGGAAAATAGATAATAAAGGTAAATTACAATCACTGAAGCGAGAAGCTTGGTGGCACAGTAGGTGGTGCTTTCTGTCGTTGGATAATAATAATAATATTAATAAATATTTCAAACACTCACACCAATTAGCCTAGTCCCAAAGTAAGCACTCTAGGCTTGTGTTATGAGATACTAGGATAACGAATAGAATACATATACTATACATACTTATATATATAAGTATATCCATAAAGAAATGCATATGAAACGTCCATGACTGGAGTATAAATGCTCGTATTCATCACTCAAATATCTACCCTTACCGGCATTTGAACACGGGACCTCTCGAGTCGGCGACATCATGAAACCTGAAACCCTGTGTACAAACCACTCGGCCACGGAGGTCGTCAAATAATTTAAGGTGCTAAAATGTCGACATTGGATAAAACATCAAAATATTGAATTTATGAATTCTTGAATTAGGCATTAAAGCCGATTTATGCGCTTACCACACGCACAAGCTTCACCACAGTTTGGCCTGCGCAAGCATCTCGCACGAAAAAACTGTACACTTTGTGCGTTACCACACGGCACAGTTAAGTACGCGCAAGCCTCATTCTTATCGAAATCATTGGCGTGGAAACAATGTTTTCTAATGAAGAAACATTTCTTATGCTACTATGTTTCAAGTGTTTGCTATTAAAAAAAACATGTAAAAACGATAGGATATGTACATAATATGTGCAAGTAGGTAGGTAGTAGGTATTAGGCATAGGTATTTAGTTGCAAAAATTATGTTTTTACCTCTTTCATTTTATTTCTCATCATCATATCATTCTTTCGTAGTCGTCGTTCTTTTTATTTCGGTCGGAATAATCTTTAGATTTAATTTTCCAGAGTGCAGGCAGAGATTTGTATTAACTAATTAATTCAGACGTGAATTCGCGATTGTACGTACGCAAATCTACCATTTTTGTGTGACGATGACGAACGACCTCATGAAACGACGAGTGAGCCTCGACACAAAGTACACTCGACTGTGGCTTGAACACTGAACGCCCAACCACACGCACAGACAAGTACGCGCAGGCCGGGCTTGCGCAGGCAAAATTGCGCAGGCCGCGCTGTGGGGTTGGCGCGTGATACAGTTTTACCAACTACACGCACCGTGTTCCGTGTACAAACCGGCCTGCGCAGGCAAAACTGCGGTGAAGCTCGTGCGTGTGGTAGGCCCATTAGGATTTACCGATATTTATGGAAATGGAAAATAAGTGGATATTGTTGCTACTTCACTACATTGGTCATGATTTTTTATCTGTATCTACTCGTTATGCATTATTTGTGATTCTTGGTAACAGAAAAATTACACCAAAACTACTCATACATTCATTTATTCTCATTCAGTATACACATAAAATAAGTTCTTCTAAAACACAAAATTTATTTACAATTCTCACAAATTACTCTTAATATTGAACCATAAATCTGACTCAAAAGTAAAGGAGTAGGGACTAGTTGTAACAAGAGGTAGTATTACATGTTTTTAATCTAACATACTAACGTGTATTTACAGGAAGTTACAGACTCTGTTCCAAAAGCCCCGCCAAAGTTCCACCAGACACCGAATCCAGCGATTTCGTGAATCCTCTCCGTTTCTGCCAAATGTTGGAAAATACGCATCTTTTACGTAGGTAATCTTTTTTTGTTTTTAGTACTCTTCTACTTGTGCAAAAAGCAAATAGGAATAATCGCGAACCTCGTTTTGATTTAGAAAATAACGGTAGGGTGGGGTTAGGGCAACTTGTAACAAAATTATGTAGCGAATTGTAACATGTCATAAATTTCAATCTTCAAATGATGAATGCCATAAAAAATTTCCTATACTGGCCTCACATCACCTCCTTATTATTGTTACTATGCTTTATGTACCTTTCAATAAAATTGAATGTACTTGAACAAAACCAGAGTATGTTAATTTTTCCAACAATATACTTTTTATCTGTCCTTGAACTTTTTAACATAATTTATAATGGTTGTCTACAAAATTTGGAATTTAATAATGCTTTCAAACTAATTAACAATTTAATATTATAAATCAAATTAATAAGATAAAGCAAATAAATGTTAATATTTTTACGATCCGTCTGTCATTAGATGTAGTAGCCTGTATCAGACGATCGAAGAAATATTCACAGAGATTCCAATTGTGTACAACTTATTTTATGTTTATCAAAAACTGTCACATCAAATTTGTAACGAAAGTTATTTTCAGTTCTTATTATTACCTTGATTGAATACAACCTTCAATAAGAACCTTGGTGTTTTATTTAACCACTTCGTAATTATTTTCGACATTTACTTTACTGCAGGTATCGTAATTTGATTTTGAAACAATTTCAACTTGTTAATAAGGGCAAATTATTACACTCGACCTATTTTAGAGATGTACAAACGTGTATGACTAAACTTGTGAGACATGAGTATTTGTAGATTTTTAACAATTTATATACAAACAAATATTAGCAAGTAACTGTTACAACATGCCCCCGCTCCTTTTACTTTGCTTTTCTCTTCCAAATTGAATAAAATACATTTTAAATTAAAATTTAGTAAGATACATTAATCTAGCTATTCTAAAATTATAAATTTGTATATTAATGACAGTTTTTTTTTACATCTATCGACGATAGCAACAGAGTGGGAAAGAGAAAAATATGTCAAACTTTTTGATACACTACATTGAAATAGCAATAAAGGGAATTAAATAAACAGAACTTATTTTATCTTTAAGTATAAAATCAAGGTTTTAACTTGAATAATTGTTTTTTTTATTATAACAATACAATATGTCTATGTTTAATATGTACATTCATGAAAATTTTTGGAAGATCATGCAAAAAAAGCATAAAAATAATGGGGAGTTTTTTTCTCATAAATATTTAAATATACTTACTTAATTACTTTTACTCAAATAAGTATTTCTAATGGGGTCAATTTTGTTATACTAAGACTAAACTATATTTTTTATATAAATAAGTACATGTCAGTATTAAGCCTATTGACATTTCTGGATTATTAATTTTGCAAAGCTTATAATATTGGTACTATGCATTCTATACAGTAACTTGTAGCACATTGTTATTTTTTAACAAAACTAACTTTAATTTAATATAAATATATGCGAGTTTTTAATGTTTTCCTTAAATATTATTAAGATTTATAATATTATCGTAAGGCATTTAAAATAAAGTTAGTTTTTATGGTAACTTTTAGTGCATTTCTAGCGATTAGTTTACAGTGAGAGGTCGATTTTGCCACTCCATTATGAATCCATCAAAAAAATTTAAATAGTAAATCGATAATGGAGGAAAAATCGCCAACTAGACTACTAACTAAATCTACTTGACAAGGTCATTACTTTTTCACATAACTAGATTCTTGCCATAACGTGAGGTCGACGAAAGGTAGTGCATCACAGCTGACTAACTGATTCCTGAAAATAAAATAAAAAGTTACCCTGTTTTTTTAATACTCGCACCAATTAGCCGAGCCTCAAAGTAAGCACTGTAAGGCCTATATTATAGGATACTACGGTAACGGTGTATTCTATCCGAATACATATACTGATACATACACCGGGATTCGAACCGGGTTTGGGACCTTTAAATAGGTAAGAAACCAGGCATATATACCTGATATGAATTCTCTATAAAAGATTCTAAAAACATGATGGGGCCTTCTAAGAACTTAAAATTAATGAAAAGTTTCGGCGCTGTAGCAATGAAAATGCACATGAATGGCAATGTTATTTTTTTTAATTCATACAGAGACCACGCATCAAGCAGTAAAAATTGTGTCTGTCTGATGAGTAAACTCAATCATAACAGTTGTCTAAAGATAATACCTACTGTCACCTTTGTTTACTAATGAAAAGAGACGAGGTCAAAGACAGCCTACTAGGTTTAAACCAAGAGTAACTTTAGTTCACGATTTGTAATAAGGACGAGATGGAGACCGGCTACTCGTAACGTAGTATAATTTGACCAAATGTTCCATTTTGTGGTACCTACTTAATATTTATTTATGCAACTGTTATATAATGAAGGGTTTAAAAATACGAGAGTTTAAATACCTAATTATAAACAGTTGCATACAGGACTTTTTCTCCACCCATGATATGAATTCTCTATAAAAGATTCTAAAAACATGATGGGGCCTTCTAAGAACTAAAAATTAATGAAAAGTTTCGGCGCTGTAGTAATGAAAATGCACATGAATGGCAATGTTATTTTTTTTTTAATTCATTCAGAGACCACGCATCTAGCAGTAAAAATTGTGACTGTCTGATGAGTAAACTCAATTATAACAGTTGTCTCACAACAGTCGTGTCAACTCACAACACTTATTATACAACAGTTGAATAATAAATACTATTTTTTGTTCTATAATTCATCAACGAAATTTGCACATTTGATAAGCAAAGATGTGATGTAAACTATCTAATATATTTGATGATACCAACAAATTAAAATGGAAACCACTACTGAGAAGAACAAGAGAGACAGCTATTCACACAAAAATACTGTTTCAACTTCGGTCATTCAGGATGTTTCGTGAAAATATTAAATTGATATAACTCTGGCACGTGGACATAGCAATGATGATGTTTGATGTGGTTTAGGCCAGTAGGGAAACCTCTTAGTCCAGGCAACGAATGCTCAAATACAGGTATAGAGGGAAATGCTTCGAACACAATTTTTGACTTCGTAACTTTGTTAGAACTAGTTAGGAGGTAAACATATCAAAAGTCCCCGCCCGTAGCCCTTAAGCCGGAGGGAAGGGGGGGGGGGATTGAAGGTCCCATTTTTAGGTTTTTCGCATATATCTCGGAAACTATGCATCCTACCGACATGAGACTGTGACAAAAGTGAAAGCTGATTAAATTTGCTACAAGTCTTATTCAGTCAAGTTTTTTGATATCTTGTATAGTTTTCGAGATATCCGCTATTGAAAGTCTGTAATTATGGAAAAAAAAATGCCACCACTTCCTGGGAATGTTGTTTTACTGATCCCGAGGTGGGAGGAAGACAAGAGATATCAGGCTTCATGGTGGCTACTGATTTCAAGAATGACTTGTACCTGTCGGCATTGAGGGAAATCTCTTTCGCTGGAGCTCCATACCACCTTAAGATGCAGGTTTCACCTGCCTTTTGTACTTGAGCGGTGGTGGAGAAAGGGTGTGAAAAGACCGCTGCTGCTTTCTGGATTTCTGGTGACTTGATAATGTCTCTGGTCTCTGGGAAGGGAGGAAATTTCTCAAACCAATCGGTGAGCTTGGCAATGTGAGCTCCATCCTTGTTTTGGCGGACTTGTTCGAAATCTGCATGCTGCTCACTGGTGGAACCAATAACCCTACGGCCGGCATTGTTGAAGAGTTATCCGGTCAAATAGAGCAAAAATGTGAAGCAAATTTTTTTTTTCCATAATTACAGACTTTTAAGAGCGGATATCTCGAAAACTATACAAGATATCAAAAAACTTGACTGAATAAGATTTGTAGCAAATTTAATCAGCTTTCACTTTTGTTAAAGTCTCATGTCGGTAGGATGCATAGTTTCTGAGATATATGCGAAAAACCTAAAAATGGGACCTTCAATCCCCCCCCCCCCCCTTCCCCCCGGCTTAAGGGCTACGGGCTATTTACCTCTATACCTTTTCGTTGCCTGGACTATCTTTCCAGTGTAGCCTAATAGTTTTAATTTTGTGAATTTCAGTAAGGTTATGATAAGGCTAATGTATCTACTAGTATCTTTTAAGAATAAAAGCATGTATGCGCTATTGTTCCAATCGTGAAATAAATATAGAATAAAAAAGTATAACTAAAACTGTGAATCCTGCCGTGTCTATTTAAAATAAAAAAAAAAAACTCAAATCGATACCGTAAGTTTAGCCTTTGATAACTTTTTTTTGTCTGGGAAATGCTTGACGCATCCTTCAACCACCGGGGGATCGAGAGGAAGGTATGTGGGACTCCTCCCTGCTCATTTCAGCCAGCCCTTAGGCCGGGTGAAATGAGTAGGGCCCTACCTAACGCCCTGAACAGGGCCACTAAAAACCAGACAACACTTCTGCACCGGTCACCCGGCGTACATTCTGAGGACCGCAGTCCCCCCATTGCACGCCGGGAGTGCGGGTGTGGTCGCGGCAACCGTTGCCGACTGTACGCGCAGTGGCCTTTGATAACTGCTTATACGAAATGATAAACTAAGAGAGGTAGGGCATAGCGGATTTCCCGCTCGAATTGGATCGCCCGTTTGGTGACGTGATCTCAACCTTACAAGAAGGTCACAGTGAAATGAACACTACCTTTTGGTGGTGTTGTGTTACTGTCGGTGAATAAGGTTGCAGTGCTTTACGGGGTAGGGGATTGGGTCAAGGTAGGCAAGGGCGGATCCAGGGAGGGGGTCATGGGGGTCATGACCCCCCTCTGGGCTGGGTCCATCTGTACCCACTTTACAATCTGTACTTCCAATCTATACCCACTGTGACTTGATCACGACTATATGACCTCCCCCTGGCGCCAAAGCTGGATCCGCCCTTGAAGGTAGGCAACGGTTAGAGTGATATTTATGGTATCACAAGCGCTATAAGCTATAGGGTATGATGGCCGCTAACCATCAGGCGGGCTATATGCTTATTTGCTACCATTATATTTCACACTCTCGGCCGCCCGCGACTTCGTACACGAAGAATTAGTTATTTGTACATACTTTTTAACCCCTGTTCACTGCTCGTTCCCCGTAGGTGATAGCGTGATAATATGTAGCCTATACATTGACCCGACTTTTTAATAATATTCGTACCAAATTTGCAGTAAATCCATGCAGTATTTTTTGAGTTTATCCCGGACATACATAGAGAGAAACAGACAAAAATTCTAAAAACTATATTTTTGGCTTCGGTATCGATTGTAGATCACACCCCAAGTATTCTTTTAAAAAAAATTTCAATGTACAGTTTTGACTTTCCTTCCATTTTATTATATGTAGAGATGAAAGAATGAGTTTTTATTATATTTGATAAATTACCCGTGGCCAATACGTTCGAAAGCTCTAGGCTGCATAGCTCGAACTCCATCAGCGTTGTCGCAGATTAGCCGAGCAATGGATGCTCCTTCCCGGATAGAATCCAATTGACCTGAAAAAGTAAAATATTTAAATAGAGCGATTTATTTATTCTTGTTGGAATTGTACCTCCACCATCCTACTTATATATGGATATAGAAAAAACCGGCAAAGTGCAAATCTGACCCACCCATTTATGGTTCCGTACAAATTTGTAGATATGCAACATACACGGAAGTATCTTTTTTCCTGTTCACTTAGAAATACTTATGATTTTTTCTATCTTCAAGGGATTGTAGATCTGAGTATAATTATGGTTTAAATTTCAACTCAATACCTCGACGCGTTTATGACAAAAAGAGACTTGACAGACAGAGAGACGGATAACAAAGTGATCCTATAAGGGTTCCGTATTTTCCTCTTACGGGACTTAAAAAGCTGATCTTCATATCAAAGGTGCTTACATAGTATGGTAGAGGAGTTTTGACATTTGAAGCACATTTGTTATTAAGTTTTATATCAATTTATTTAAGTTGTTGGTAAGTTATATATCGATATAAGTACGTGGTGTGGCAGACGTCCAGAAGCTTAAAAATTATAGTAGATATAATTTTAATGGTTATAGCATTATCAGTTATTTTTTATGTAACGTACTATGTTAAGCTTTTTATTATTTATATGAACAGAAACAAATCATTATAGAATGTATCGACAATACAGATCTCTTATAAGTTTTAGTACGAAAACCTATATCAGGCTTCTTCTATACTTTTCCACACATAATTTACTCCGGCTAATGGATACTTCAGTATTTACTTTCGATTTATATGATATAATTTCCTAGAACCATTGTGTTAGAAATAACAGCTGAACCTATATATTATGATTCTACTAAATACACATGTGAGAATTTAAAGTTCGTTTAAAAGGCTATAAAAACTTACGGCGCGAATTTCCCCGCGCCCGCGGCTGCGGCACCGCATCTCAGTGTTACCAACCCTTACCAAAATTTTCCCCTAAGTATTTTTTAAATTCCCCTAAAATCCCCTAAATATACATTTTTTTAAGTACCTACTTATTACCCAAATTCTTTCGTTGCTCATAAATTAAAAAGTTACATATTTAGTTACAGTAAATTATTTTATTGAATAAATACAGTTTCCGAAAGGACAATCAAACGAAAATGAGGCCGTTTAATCTTTTTTAGCTATTTTTTAACTTTAGTCCATACAGCCTTAAGAAACAACCCGCCACAGTCAGTTTAGTCGTTTCATATCGTTGTGCGTTCCATTCTACGCACAAAACTGAAAGAAAACACGCTTTGTTTTTCGATTTAATTGCAAGTTTTGATAAAAGCCCCTAAAAGAAACCCCAAAAAATTCCAGCCCTCAAAAAGTCCGTTTTAACACTTCTAGACCCTAAATCTGGGGGCAAAACCCCTAAGTTGGGAATCGTGCCGCAACTCTCGTAGAATTTGAAATCGAGGTACAACGTAAAAGCACGACGCAATTTACGCCCGCAGAGCGCGCGGGTGTTTGCGGCACCTGATGCGGACGTGCGCGGGACGCGATTTTCCGCAGTCGCGGCGGGTTTCGCGCGATCACGCAAACGTGGAGGCTGCGGCACCGCAGAAAACTGCGTGACTGTGCGTCTCATGAGTTTTGAAATAAAACAGCACTGCGGCCACCCGGCTGCGTGTGCGGGAAAGAACCGCCTCGTGAGATCTTAGCCTTAGACGAATCCTTATCTCTAGAACTTCAAAGGAGCTCGAAAGCACATAGTGGAAGAGAGTTCACCTTTGAACAAAAAAAAACTAATATTCTCATCGATTTTTCAGAAGAAATGTTAAGCCCATTATAGTGAGTTATGACATGGCCCGTTCTCTCTCTTTTTTTTCAAGACGACGACGTTGTAAAGAAGACTTATTCCCCAGCAATAGAAATATAGAATTATCATTATACCTGATTTATGCCTTTTCCAAACGAATCGGGCAACAGGCGCCTATTCGATAAAAAAACGGACAAGTGCGAGTTGGACTCGCCCGGTGAGGGTTCTGTACGTCGGTACATACTATAATTACTCAGTTAAAGTCTTGGTCACCCTTACATACGCGCATACCGTTGCTTAACCTCGATAATTATAACAAATGTTTTTATTTCAAGATATTTTTCGGTCCTTGAAGAATTAGATGATATTACTTACTTACCAAATTTTATAATTGTAGGTCAACGGAAAGTACCGTGTTAATTTGATTCCCTTGAGAATTTTGATATATACGGTTTTTGCAACAAAATCGTTTTTAATTTAACTGGGAACTTAAATTTTTCCCCAACTTTAAGGGACCTCCGACCTAAGTATAGGGTTTCAATTTTCGAGTTAAGGGTTTCGGCAGAAAAACAGACGGACCGAAGGTCAATAAAGTATTCCTATAACGATTCAGATTATTTGCTTTTATGTACAGAACCCTAAAAAGTAGATTAATGTATCCACTGCAACTATTTAATTCCAAACCTAGAGGGATTGCCTTTTTTTTTTAAATAAGTACTATCTACGTCCGTATAGAAACCACAACCTCAGTTACTAATCGAACCGTTAAGCATTGGTTGGGTCTAAATTGTAGTTTGAAAACAACATTGACAAGCAGCCTGTCTCTCGCCTAAAGTAATAACCGAAAGTTCTCTATTGCTTTAAGTTTAAAGATTCTGATATAGTTTAAAATACGTTTGATTTTCCTCACTAATATTATTATTACCAAAAATATTTTTACTGGGAAATAATGTTGGCTTTTTGGCACTTGGCCCATGTGTCAATCTAATTCAGCCTTTTAAAACCACTAACAGACATTATTATACGAAAAGCTATAAGATAAGAGAAAAAGGAACCGTTCAAACTTAATTTAACAAGTTTATAAAAGTTTATCAAGTTTATAAAGAAAGAAGAGAGAATATCTGAAAGTCATACTAATATTATAAACACAAATGTAACTCTGTCTCTGTGTCTGTCTTTCACGCCTAAATTGCTGCTTCAATTTTGAATGGAATTTTAGAATAGCAATAAAGGGAGCGAGATAAAGAAGATGTTAAAAAACACATAAAGTTACATTTCGCCATGGAAAATGAACTTTGAAGGGCGAAAAGGAAAAATTCATGGGGCCATCAACTAGGATAAAAGCGGCCAAGTGCGAATCGGACTCGCCCAGGAAGGGTTCCGTAGCAGCAAGTAACATAATAAAAAAGTTCTTGTAGTTCGTTGTAACTTTCATCGATGTTTGAATAATATGTAGTGTATTTTGCGTTTTACGATTAATGACATATTAAAAAAAACTACTCACTAGATCTCGTTCAAACCAATTTTCGTTGGAAGTTTGCATGGGTACATCATATATTTTTTTTAGTTTTATCATTCTCTTATTTACATACATTTAAAAGTTACAGTTACATACATTTAACCACTTTGGAAGTGTCTCTCGCGCAAACTATTCAGTTTAGAAAAAAAAATATTAAAAACCTCAATATCATTTTTAAAGACCTATCCATAAATACCGCACACGTAAGGGTTTGATGAAAAAAAAATTTTAGTTACATTTCTAAGAATGGGGAACTCCCAAAATTTATTGCTTTTTTCCTATTTTTGCGTAAAAAAATTAATGCGGTTCACAGAATACATCTACTTACCAAGTTTCAACAGTATTTGAAATTTTCATAGTGCTTATAGTTTCAGAAAAAAGTGGCTGTGACATACGGACGGACAGACAGACATGACGAATCCGTAAGGGTTCCGTTTTTACCATTTGGCTACGGAACCCTAAAAAGGTATAAAAGCCAAAATTACATTCTTAAAAAGCACTCTGGGACCCTAGCACGAACCAATATCGAATTCGAATCGTTTGCGAGTCCGAAATGTCATTGTCTTACATATTCATCATAACTTACTCGGTGTAAAAGGTACAGAATAACTTACTCGGTGTAAAAGCGATCTCCTGGTCAGCACCGTTCTCATAGAAGAACCTGTCTCCGACCCTGGTCCTATAGAACTGCTCTGTGAGGATGCACAGGAACGTCGGCCCCGCTAGGGCGCCAGGTACGTTGTGTTCCAGGGAACCGGCCACCACGATCTCCACGTCCAGGATGCTCTGATACATGCTTTGAAGGACTCGCACGTTCTGTAGGGAGACGGGACATAGCAAAATTTATCCATAATAATTACTTACATAAAGGTCTAAAGAAAATTTTACTAAAAAGTCCACTCGGCTTCGAATGGAAGGTACCTGGATGAATGCAATTTTTTGTAGTATAATTTTCTTTAGATTTATAAAAATAGCAGTTTTATGCTTCAGATAAAAACTAAATAACATAACGTTAGCAATTGGAATCAACAAAATCGTATTGTTGAAAAGCAACGTATTTGTGTATTCAAAGGGTTTAAAATTCTGTGTTGGATTACTATCACCAGAAAAGATCTTTCGATGTGATTAAACATTTATGACCTAGACAACATGAGATCAACCCAAAAAAAGGTTTGAAGTTTGCGTCTCGGAATTCTGGGTACTGTTTAGGAATCTCATTAATGTGCAGTCACATTATTCAGGTTTTGTCGCGATAAAAGTTCTGACATTTCGTTTAGGTTTACGTGAAAGTAATATTAAATGTTTTGCTTCGACTGAGCTTAAGCTTACCTATTTATTATTCAGTTAAGTCCATTTATTATTAAACTTGCCCCTACATTGATGTCGTTATAAATATTTATTAAATTGAAAGTCGTCAACAGTTTTTGCTGATCAAAAACATTAAACTATATATACGAGTATATACTAATATTAAAATTACGGAACTGTTTTGTGGCTAAAACTCTCAGGTGATTACACTTAAAAAAAAAAATTTGTTCACTTCAACCCAGACTTTGCTTATTTTAATAATACATCATGAATCCATATGAGCCTTTCAAGTATATGACCTTTGTTATTGAGAGAACTTTGTTAAATTATCTTAGTTACACCTGTAAAGTGCTGTACTGGCCTTATAAAGAATAGTTAGTTGCATCAATATCTTATTTAGTAGAAACATGCAACTTTATTACATTAATAAAGTTCTATTGTAGATTTAAGTAATCCTACAATAATATCAACTAAGATCCTTGTCTATAATATGTCAAAATGTCGAGATGGTGAACTCAACCAATGATTAAGAAACTTCTTCAAATCCAAGAACAAATACTACATTTAACCAAGTCACTTACTAGCCACGAACTAAGATAATAGTTGGCCTGACAATGGTAGTTATTTATTTCAAATTTAGTCTTATCTAATTTGAATATTTAGATTTCTTCTGATTAAAGAATACATAACTTTATTTAACGAAATTATTAGTTGCCATCAACTAAGATAATAGTTGCCTAAGCAATGGCAAATTATTCGTTTCAGGTCGTCTTTTCCAATTTGATTATTACACTTAAATCAAAAATAAAGATAACTTAATTCAATGAACGCCATGGTTAGTTTGACAAAGTTTTAATTTAGTTTCACCCGCATTAATAAAGGTTAGAGTGAGTCAAACTTAAAAATTGGGCATATGCCGTCGTGGACTTTTTTTATAGAGCATTGAAGAAAACAATTTCGTCAAACATTATTTAACTTTAACCGTTTACGCAGCGTACGCAAAGGAAGCTCTGAAATGGAATATTTTTTCCCGTTTTTGCAACATATTTCATCGATGTTCTGCTCTAACTGGTTGTAGCGTGATGATATATAACCTTCCTCGATATATGCACTATCCAACACAAAAATATTGTTTCGAACCAGTACTACGTTTGTTCCTGCGTTCAACTAAATAGTCAAACAAATAAACTCTTCGGTAAATATAATTTGTCGGAAATATACTCTGTGGGTATATCAGTTATCTAGCTATTACCTTCCGTGACCGCAACTCGTGTATCTTAATAGGTTCACGAATTGAGATCCTAATAGGGTTTGTTTGTCCCCCTTTGGGTAAGGAACCCCAATTATAAAATAATTATATTTTACATAATTCTTAAAAGGCTTTCTCAAATATTCCTGAAAGGTTGAAGGTATGCACCTAAAAAAATATAATGAGTAAAACCAGAAAATAGAAACAGAAAGACTGCTTCCGCCATCAACGAAAATAATAAACTCATCGCAATTAATTGCTTGAAATTGAGAAAGAATGCCTGTAAATGTAACGTCAATGTGTCCGTGACAACAATTACACATTGTTCTGAGCCAACTCTCTGCTTGGGCAATTTTATACTTTGTGGTTTACTGTCCTACGTCTTCTCAGAATTTTCATTGAGAACTCAAATATAATTTAAACAATGGAGCTTATGCAGATCAGATAATTTAGCCAGGTTCTTGATCAGTATAAAACTGTATGCAAGTGCACATTTACAACGGATCATTACCTATCAGTAGATGGGTAAGTAATACTTTTAAATTAAACTGTCGCCAATGTACCGGTGGACAGGAACATTGCATTCTGTAATAATACACATAAACACATAATAGAAGATATTAATAATGATTTTTTCTCACTGAAAAATCAGGTCTTGGTGTCTAACTGGACTGGACAATACAAATTTATAGATCAAGCAGTTTAATGCATAAAATAAAAATACAACTAAGTTTTATATCTTACTTCTTTTTAATCATTATTTCTATAAAGTCTACAGACTCCCTTTTTTTACGTTATTACATTATTTAATGTGTATTATATCTTGTGTTTTACTGCGTTTACCTACTCGAAAACAACAAACCTAACCTTACCTATCTTTATATATATAATTCTTCTGTGAGTGTGTATGTCACTGAACTTCTCTTAAACGACTGGACCGATTTTGATGAAATTTTTTGTGTGTGTTCAAGAGGATCTGAGAATGGTTTAGATTCACAATTTGGTCCGCTGGACAACCCCTATTTTTTTAGGGCGGTACGAAGTTCGCTGGGTCAGCTAGTTTACTATAAAATAAAAGCTATTAAAATTATATCTTACTTCAGGAGATATGAAGTCCAATAAGTCGTGGAATGATTTTGGCACTGGTAGGCCACAGGCCGCTCTGGTCGCCACGTATGAGCCGAGACCGTGGTCCCTGCCTCGCTGTATGTCGGTCGCTCGCAAGTCCCCGCCGAAGGTGTTGTTACGCCTAAACAATATGCTGGCATGAAATTTTCTGACAATGAACATTATTAAATCATGTAATATGAAGGCAGGCAGGCTTTCTAGCTTTTCTTAAGCTGCAAGTCAGCGCCATCTCTTTGCATTGTAAGTAGGTAACACCACAATGTCAAATAAATACCTGTACAAGTATTAAACATTTGAAAGAAGAAATACCAATTATAATTTAGCATTTTAAGCAGCTTTTTACTAGTAATATTTTCTCTAGATTTAAACATCGTACAGTTACATGCTTAAAAAATAAAAAATATACCTAACTAGCAAACCCGGCGAACTCCGTTTCGCCACCAGATAGCTTCGTTTTATGTAACATTTCGTTTTGTGATTAAAAGATTTTTTTTTTTTAATTTTTCCTGAATTTTCTTTGCTATAAACCTCACGGAGCCCGAGACCTTTCCAACGAATGCAAAACCGTGGAAATCGGTTCGTGCGTTCTGGAGTTATAGCGTCAGGAAGGAAAACCCGACTTATTTTTATATAGTAGATTAACAGGCTTATTGCAAAACGCGGACTAAAGCTAGTATTCCTTTAAACCTAAATGTGTCTCTTTTGTGTAAACAAAGTGACAGCATTTAGTTCAGATTTAACATTAGTGTACGTTTTGTAATAAAGTGGTTACAGTTTACTCCAATGGCAAAGTAGCTAAAGCTACATTGTTAATACTTATTTCTACAGTACCTAATTAATATCAAAATTAGTCTTATTCTAAAATTCATGGTAATAAAGAAAAAAATATTCTATTAAGTACCGGCTGCGGTCCACAGAACATCTGATATGAAAACCTATGTATTCCCCACCAACAACATCACAGAGGTCCCCCTAGTTATTATGAGTTAAATCTATGTTTCTGTAGTTTATATGTTTATCAAAGTATAATATCATGAAATATATATAGTATAATATAATAGTTAGGTAGACTTAAATAAAAATTACACTCTCATGGCTACACCCAATTACGTCAGACATTTGTCATTAATACTGTTGAGTTCGAGTCTACTGCCGCCGCACTCTCACATTGTGCTCATGTTATAGTAACATTTGCACCAAATACAGTCTCGTAGCTAATGTACCCACATGGCTTTTGAATAAAAATGTTACCTAGCGTCCTAATCAAAGCGAGTTTGTGTCAGTTTTTGTAACACGAAAGTGAAAAGTTGTTATTGGTGAAACGTTGTACCAAAAGGTATTGCGAGTCTATCTGTGGTCTTGGATCCAACAATTGGTGGTCGAAATTTCAACTCCAACTTTGCCCTAAAACAAACATCAATGTGAGGCTAATTGTCAAAATAAATTGGCAGCTAGTCCCCTATTATGAGTGACAGAATATATAAAATACTTTATCAGTTCCAAATGTATGATATTCCCTAAAACTAATTATAGACTACTTTTAAGATTTGCTTTTACAGTCAACTATCAAATTTTGAAATTCCAAAAACACTAATTGCACACTTAGATGTTTTAAGCACACCTGTGACATAATAACTTTAGAATGTTGAAGATAGCTATAAAACTCATGAAATTGTAATACAAACTTTTAAAGCATATTATACTTTTAAAAATATCGATTAAAGTCTAACGACTGTTTCACATAAAGTAAGCAAGCCTATGATTAGATGTTGTAGTTATTTAAAAAAAAAGTAACTTAACAATCAATTTCATTCATAATAGATATGTGTAATAACAGCGTATACGCTACTGACAGCAATATTGCCGTGCGCTAATCGAACCTAACGTCACGCTATATCATACCCTTTAAAGATGAGTTCCCACGGAATTGTACCGATTTTTTTTGTGCATAATTTAACCTCTCAATATCTGGTTGTAAAAGTTGATTCATGTACCTATATCGAATAACTGCAGTTTTTCTATGTCGATCGCCTTGTTGAATACGTTGAAGATATTTCTTTTGACATGTAACGATTATACTAAGAAGAATATTCATAATTTTTTTAATAAGCACAGAACTGAGTTAGTGTTGCCCGAAAACTAAAGCACCTTTGATGCTCTGCCACATGGTTCTACACATGGCGTAAATATTACATAACGATCAGCCTAACTAACTGACGGGGCACAGGTCTTCGCTGAGAATGTATGTGCGTTTTTTAAATGGCTAGTATTTAATTGCAAATCAAAAAATTGACATTTTGTATAAAAATAAATTTCCAATCCTAAGCAAAATAAACTTATTGCATAGCAAAATAGTCACCGCAAAATATTGTTATATTAATAACAATTTAAGTTCGTGATGCATCGCTATTTATTTAAAACTAAAGCTTTTTTAAGAATGCATAGCTATTGTAATAATAAATATTTTATATCATTTTTTTTAAACAAAGCTGTCATATTTTTATCTCATACCTACAGCAGTTTACCTAAGTGAAACACCATTTTAATTGACATAAGAATCTAATTATTGAAGTAAAACTTCTTTAGGCACGCTTGACTTGGGGGGTAAACTGGCGAATGTGTTACGATTTCGCGTTACGATTACTGTTATTGGTGACTCATCAGTAAACAATGAACAATATCCGTCACAAAATACATGAATCTAGTGCTTGGTGGGTGATAACGGACCCAGCGCGGATTGGTGGGTGATAATGGACCCAGCGCGGATTGGTGGGTGATAACGGACCCAGCGCGGATTGGTGGGTGATAATGGACCCAGCGCGGATTGGTGGGTGATAACGGACCCAGCGCGGATTGGTGGGTGATAATGGACCCAGTGCGGATTGGGGGGTGATAACGGACCCAGCGCGGATTGGTGGTTTTTTTTCTATCAACAAACTTCAATTTTAGTTTTTGATTTTCAGATCATTGGAGCTAAAGAAATTTCACTTCAGTCGTATGGTCATAAACACACTCACTTTATTTTTATAACCATCAAAAGTGTCCCAAAGTTGAGCAAGTTTTGAAATGCTTAATGGGAAACCTGTTACAAAAATAGTTATTTTGTTATAAGTTTGAGTATTTGCGTCGAAGCCCTGCTTATTTTTCTATGCAACCGGTATATTATATATATTACCGGTATATTTGCTGTGCAATCAGTATATTTGATATGAAAATCATATTTCTGTACAATTAAACAAGTTTGTCGTTAAATCAGATTAGATGTATATTTTTAAATTATTTTTAGTACTAGTTTTGTTCAACAGATGTTTTGTTTGCAGTCAAATAATTATTTTGATGTAAAAAGTATTTAATTGCTGTAAATGACTTGATAGGTAATAAGTTTTCTGTTGTGCATTTAAAAATATCCCTTTTTAAATTAATTGTCATAGAATCTCTTTCGCATCTTTAGTTTTTTTTATTTATATATAAAAACTGTAGCACAATTTTTTTCGTTTCATTATTTTTGAAACAGCCCACGTATGTGATTAGAGCATACGCTCCATAATTTGAATTTATTGGCCCTTTGGATCTTAATCGCATCAAGGTTTATTTGCAAATTGTCAATTAGTTTACCTACAATTAACGCTGAAGGTTAACGACCAGTTAGTTAAAATCGCCGTTTGTCGTCAATGAATCTCACTTCGCACAAATTATGTAACTATGTAATAAAATCTAAGAATATAAATTACACGCACTTCTAATTATTGTATCATCATGAAACTTGGCAATTATATGTAGATTAGATGACAATACAATATTATGGTACCATCGAGCTGATCTGATGATGGGACTGGAAGGTGGCTGATGGAATCTTGGACTGCCTTCTTGTAAACATATCGAGTTTGGGCTCATTAGATTCGTCTTAACATGTTCTATTCATTTTCCTGATGACTGAAGCTAAAAATACTGAAATAAATTAATAGTTTAAAAAAACTATAAACACGCTTTTATTTACTGCACTAAAATCAAAAAATATGTATGTCTGTTTAGCCATGTTTATAGTTTATTTTAACATATGTATGTTTATTTTAACGCGGGACACTCCAAAAATATAAAACTCACGTGACCAGGCGCAGCAACGCACACAGCTAACTTCACTCTAGCGGGGCCCAGTATTCTGTAAAATTTTCACACGATCCGATGCGGATCCGCGCGTGAAAATTTTACAGAATAGAACAGCAGGTTGCGCGCTCGGCTCGATTAAAAAAGATGGACCCAGCATTCTGTTTTTCAACGTCTTCTCTTTTTAACCGACTTCAAAAAGGAGTAGGTGTTCAATTTGGTTGGTATGATTTTTTTTATGTAAGTACACCGATTACTCCGCCATTTCTGATCCGATTTACATGTTTTTTTTTTGTTCGATGCGGAATAGTTTCCATTTGGTCTTATAAAAGCCAGTTTGGTTCAGTAGTTTTGTTTGGCTAGTATTGAACTGCAAATCAAACCATCAAACAATTGACGACCTCTGTGGCCGAGTGATTTGTACGCCAGGTTTCATGGTGTCGTCGATAGGGCATAGAGAACCGATTACATTTTCGGAACAGGTTCTTTCAGGTACCTTCAAAACACAGTACCGGGTACCCGGTTCTTCCGGTTCTTTTGGGGTAAGTAATTTATTTAAAGGGTAGTTGATCAAATAATGAGGTACTTATTCAAAATCAATGAATATTTTTCATCAATAATCATGTTTTATTTATTAGAAACACAAGAATCTTTAAAAATTGCAATGTTAACAAAATCCATCGATTCTTAAATTCTGAAATTAATAACAATTAATTCAGTTCACAGTATTCATCAATCAAATCAGATTGGATATGTTTTTGAAGTATTTCATTTTTAGTGGGGGACCTTTTAAAAGTTTTGACCACTTTTCGAACTTTAGATATAAGATCATGATATCTGAATGACTGTTGAGGTCTGGATTCTGGAATAAGCGATCCGTTGTTGAAACGGGCGCCATCTTCATCATCATTTTCTTCTATGTCATTGTCGCTATTGTCAATTTCGTTACTAATTTCTGCTCTTCGCATAAGTAAGGCTATTTCTGCTAGAGTCATATTGTCTTCGATATCATTTTCT